GCAGAGGAACAAAGCAGCAGACAGAAATTGCATTTAGTGTTCTTGAATGAGACAAGTACACACTATAGAGGGATATGCTTTGTTCATTTTTCATTTATGAGGTGTGCAACCACTTTAAGTCAGGATCAGAAGATCCAGCATCTTCACACTCAAGGCTGAATGAGATTTGCACATTCCTGAATGTAATGCAAAAAAAACATCTATTGAGTCTTTATATTCCAGAATAAACAACCTATTAACTGCTTGCTGTCCAGCCACTGTGGAAAAATGGCCACAAGGTGGCACCGCTGGGCAAAATCACGTTTTAAAACGTCATTTTGCAAAACAGGTAGGGGGCGCGTGCGACCGCCCTACCCGAGCCACCGATCGCGGCCGCGGGTGTTAATCACTGGGTCCCGGATGGTCATTGTTCACAATGCAGCTCTGCTCCCTGTCAGTTCCTGAGAGCGGAGTTTAGCTCTCAGGATCAGTGTGTTCCTGTGAAGTACACAACCCCCACCCACTAGTAAAACACTTCCCTCACACAGTTAACCCTTTGATTGCCTAAAAATGTTAACCCCTTCTTCCCCAGTGCCATTAATACAGTGTCAGTGTTTTTTTTTTTGCACTGATCACTGTATTGGTGTCACTGGGGATGTCAGTGACCCCAAGTCAGTTCCCCCCCAGTGTCAAAATGTCCACCGCAGTCCCGCCATAAGTCGTGATCACTGTCATAAATCGCTGACACAGCCATAAGTCGCTGATCGCCATTATTAGTATAAGATAAAAAAAAAACAGTATCTTTCTCGCCATTTGTAGACGCTATAACTTTCACGTAAATCAATTCATTTACACTTATTGGGGTTTTTTTTTTAGCAAAGATATGTTGCAGAATACATTTTGGCTGAAATTTATGACGAAATTTGATTTTTTAATTTTTTTACTGGACATGTTTTATAGCAAAAAGTCAAAAAATTTTTTCTCCAAATTGTAAGCCTTTTTCTTTTATAGGCGCAAAAAATTAAAAATTAAAAACCACCGAAAGAAAGCTCAATTTGTGGGAAAAAAGTACGTAAATATAATTTGGGTGCAGTGTTGCATGACTGTGCATTTGTCAGTTATAGTAATGCAGTGACGTAACACAAACCACTTCTGTAACCGCTTCCTGACTGCCCTATAGCAGAAATACTGCTACAGGGCGGCGCATGGGTGTGCAAAATCACACATTTATATATACATGATTTGTGCTCTGGTGGATTTCACGCCCCTCCCAGATAGCATCAGATTGCAGGTCAGTACACCAGTCATCACATTTAATCCCTTGACTGCCAGGAAGACGCTCATGCACAATAAACCTCCATTGCTAGTATAGAGTCTGAACGGATCAATATCTTTGATCAGATCAGCCCTATACCAGCGTTCACATAAGTATAGCGTCCCCAAAAATACAGCGTTAGCGGGATCAGCCCCGGCATCTGCCAACACCTGCGTTTAGACTCTACGTTTACCCCCCCTTCTCCCCCAGCAAGTACAGTGTCAGTAGGTCACTGTCACTTGATACATTGAACACAAAAATCGCAGTGTTTGCAGGATCAGGCCTGATCTCTGCTAGCACTTGCCAGAAAATTTTGATGACTCTCATATGCAGCAGAGTGCCAGTACTAGTGCCACACTACCTTTTGGTGAACTGGTGACACCAGCCGTCTAGTACATCCTGGTCTTTCACATACCTCTTAGATTGTAAGCTCCCAGGATCAGGGCCCTCCTAACCCTCTTGTATTGATCTGTATTGTTGCTGTATTGTCTCCTGTTATACTGTAAAGCGCTGAGCAAACTGTTGGCGCTATATAAATCCTGTATAATAATAATACCAGCACTGCAGTATGACTTGTTGACGTGGCGAGTCCCATAAGTCCAGTACAAGCCGGTGCGGTGGCGAGCACAAGTATTGTCCCACAGCCACCAAATTTAACTACTCCCCTTGATTTTTGGAGCTGCTTTTCACAGAATATCTGTATGCATTGATTGTGGATCAAAGCAATTTATATGCACAACAATTTATCGCCGCCAAACCAAATTCAAACCTCGTTACGGTTTCCGAATTTACATTTTTTTTGGGGCCTAACCCTCAACATGGGCATTACTAAAAGAAATGAATTGCAGTTGTATTGGTCCGCAGACCCGATTCATCATATGCCGTGTTCTCTGCTGCCATGGCCAGGCATAGATATGAGAGTATGATGTGTTTTATGCATTTCAACGACAATACACTCTGTCATTCTCGGGGTGACCCTGAATTTGATTGGTTCCTCAAAATTCAGCCCCTCGCAAATCACCTTAACCAAAAATTTGCAAATGTCTATACTCCCCAGCAAAACATCTGTGTTAATGAGTCCCTCATTAATTTTTCTGGCTGCCTTGCATTCAAACAATTTCTCCCAACAAGCGCGCCAGATATGGGGTCAAGATGTAGAAGACATGTGAGAGGACAATAGGCTATACTTATAAGTTTTGGATTTATGAGGGAAAAGATAGTCACGTGGAGCCCCCCGGATGCCCAGACTACATGGGGAGCAGTGACAAGATAGTTTGGGACTTAGTGTCATCCTTTTTCCATATGGGGTACCACTTATACGTGGACAATTTTTATTCAAGCATGCCACTATTTAGACATTTGTACAATCTTGGAACTGGCGTATGTGGCAACGTGTGACCTAATGTGTGCCCACCATTAGAAGTGGGTGGATGCAGGGAGGAATATTCTAATGGTGGGCTTGGCTTCCAAAAAGTCTCACACATGTGGTATCCCCATACTCGGTAGAAGTAGCAGAATGTATTTTTGGGTGTAATTCCACATATACCCATGACAACTTTGTGTAAAAAAAAAAAAAGATTTTGTCATTTTCCAGAAACTTGTGGAAAAAAAAATAAATCTTACATGGACTCAATATGCTTCTCAGCAGATAGCTTAGGGTGTCTACTTTCCAAAAAGGGGTCATTTGAGGGTGTTTGTACTATCTTGGCATTTTAGCACCTCAAGAAATGTGATGAGCAGTCAGAAAGTAAAAGCTGTGTAAATTCCATTATCTATACCACAGTTTGTAGACACTATAACTTTCACACAAAGCAATAAATATACACTTACTGGGATTTTTTTTAACCAAAAACATGTAGCAGAATACATTTTGGCCTAAACTTATGATGAAATTTTAGTTTTTTTGGATATTTTTTATGACCGAAATGAGAAATTTATTTTTTTTTTTAAATAAATTTTTTCTTCAAAAATGTTTTTGTTTATAGCGCAAAAATAAAAAAAGTGCTCAAATACCACCAAACGAAAGCTCTATTTGTGTGAAAAAAGGACATAAATTTCATTTATGTACCGTATTGCATGACCGCAACTGTCCATTAAACTAACGCAGTGCTGTACAGCAAAAAAATGGCGTAAATTGCAGTATCTATACCATTGTTTGTAGACGCTATAACTTTCACACAAAGCAATCAATATACATTTATTGGGATTTTTTTTTACTAAAAACATGTAGCAGAATACATTTTGGCTTAAATTTATAACTAACTTTGAGTTTACTATATATTTTTTATAGCTAAAAGTAAAAAATATTGTTTTTCTTCAAAATTTTTGTTTTTTTTGTTTATAGTGTGAAAATTAAAAGCACACAGGTGATCAAATACCACCAAAAGAAAGCTCTATTTGTGTGAAAAAGAGGATATAAATTTCGTTTGGGTGCAGCATTGCATGACTGCGGAATTATCAGTTGAATTAGTGCAGCACTGAGTAGAAAAAAGAGGCCTGGTCATTAAGGGGGTAAATCCTCAGGAGTGCAAGTAGTTAAACTGAAACGTTTCATTTTCTCACTGGGGCATCTTTTACATAGTGTGTGATCTCCTATACTAATGCTAACATTTATTGGAAAACACTGCATTTATCAACAGCCTTAGAATAAAATAAGAGTTCAGTATGGAAATCTCCCTTGCTGAACATGAATACATTCAACGTTGCCGGGAAACCACATTTCCAATAAACACAAAGTACACATTCATATAACCACAGGTTCCTCAGAATGAAATCATTTTGCATTTGTCTTGCTGCCAGCTGACTGTGCCCCATATTATGGTCACACTTTGTTTCATGCATTTATCTAGTGAAAATATATCAATGGCAATTGTTCAAGCTAACTTCTAGTTGTTGTGCTTGTTTTTTATCAGCATAAACCATGCTTTTGAATGAACCAACCTGGATAGTAACAAGTGGTACTAAAGAAAAATGACTTAGCCATAGACAAATAACCCCCTGAGAATGAGGGGTGCTAAAAAATAAATGCCCATTGTAAATAGCAACACAAAATATCACTGCTTCTCTTGTGACTTACCCAAAAGAGTGAAGCAGTGCAACTAATACCTTCTAACAAGTTGAAAAATCCCTGTAAGGTACAGCTTGTGATTCTAACAGAAAAAGTGTGCTCTATTACATGGTAGGGATCATAGGATTTGGTCTTTAATGGAAAACCTAAGGTCTAAATTACATTGGAGATTACAAGTTCTTACTGGGCTATATGTTGGGGTGGTGATTTGCACCTATTCCAGCCATAATCCTACCATCCTATTCCAACCATTAACCCATCATCCAAGTGGAACAATGTAGTGAATAGGCAAATGGCTTCATCTGTGCTCCAAATATTGCAAGTCTAGACAGTTGCACTGCACTGCAATACCCAAATACACTCTGGCATATTGAACCTTTTGTTTGAGTAATATACACTGAATTAAATAAGGACCTTGATAGTGGACATGCTTGACAATGACTCCTTTTGCTGCCTTCCTAATTCTGACCAGCAATCACCTTTTCTTCAAAACATGGAAATCAAAAGTATACAAATGAAGTGTTTGGCAGAAATGGGTAAATCACACAGTGGTAAGAAATTGCAGCTTAGGTGATACATGTTGTGTATACGTATACACACAAAAAAGCATATATATAGCAGTAATTTGAACAGTGTTACCTTAAAAACAGGGTGAACAGCTGGTAGCTGCCGATACATGGCAATGGCAAAAACTTCTGTTAGGAGATGACTCCTCAGGAGATGGGACACTGTTTGATGGATATGGAAATCTGATGATCTGACCCATATCTTGGCTAACAACCAATCATATTGTGCATCGGATGGCAAAAAAATTGGATTTTTTATTGGTTTCAGGTCCAGGTGTTTGGTTTAGCTGCAGAACATAAAACACGTTTGGAATGTTAATATATTCTTATTAATGTAGATTACCTGAACAATACTTTGACAATGCTTCACATTTGTTTAACCACTAGCCTACTGGGCAACTATACCCCCTTCCTGCCCGGACCAATTTTCAGCTTTCAGCACTGTCATACTTTGACTGACAATTACTCAGTCATGCAACACTGTACCCATATGAAATGTTTGTCCTTTTTTTCCACACAAATAGATTCCCTTTGGTGGTATTTAAAAAACACTGGGTTTTTCATTTTTTTTTGCGCTATAAATTAAAAAAGAATAAAAAATTTGAAACATAAAATGCAGTTTTTGTCGTAAAATTTTGAAAATAAGTAATTTTTCTTCATACATTTTGGCCACTATTTATACTACTACATTTCTTTGCTAAAAATAACCTAAATCTGTCTAGATTATTTGGTCTGTGTGAAATTTATAGATTCTACAAGCTATGGGTACCAGTCATTGAAAATTGATCACACCTGAACACACCAGGACAGTACAAACAGCTTGGTGTCATTTGCAAAGAATGAAATGGGATTGTTAATCCCAGACCCTATATCGTTTATAAATCTATTAAAAAGTAAGGGTCCCAACACTGAACCTTGGGGTACACCACTGACAACCCTAGACCATTCAGAGTATGAATCATTAACCACTACTCTCTGAATACGATCTTTTAGCCAGTTTTCTATCCATTTACAAACTGATTTTTCCAAGCCTGTAGACTTTGTCTTACACAATAGCTGTGTATGGGGAACTGTGTAAAATGATTTTGCAAAATCCAAGTATACCATGTCCACAGCCACCCCTCTGTCCAAGGTTCTGCTCACCTCTTCAAAAAAGAAATCATATTTGTTTGATAATTTCTGACTTTCATAAATCCATGCTGTCTGTTGCTTAAAAATGTTTTGTCCAGCAAGAACTCATCTATGTGGTCTTTAATTAAATTCTCCAGTATCTTCCCAAGCAGATTATGTGCCCAGCATTGCAACAAGTGTAACACAAAAATCAGCAAACAATGCATAGGGAATAATGTAAACAAAAGATTATCTGTGGTTTGAGGACAGCATTAGTCCAGGTCAGTACAGGCAGCAGGCTGACATCCAGGCAGCAGGCAGGAACAAGGTCCATAAAAAGTCCTGGGTCACTACAGGCAGCAGGCAGAAATATGGTCACCACAGCCAAAGTATTGGTTAAGGCAGCAGACAGGGACATGATCCATAAAATGTCCTGCGTCATTGCAGGCAGCATACAGAGATCTGGTCAGCACAGCCAAAGTATTTGTCCAGGCAGCAAGCATGAATAAGACCCATAAAAGCTCCTGGGTCAGCACAGGCAGTGGGAAGGGATATGGTCAGCACAGCCAAAGTATTGGTCCAGGCAGCAGGCAGGAACATTAGGCTTAGGGCCTTGGTCAGGTAGGACCATGGCACAGGGGTAGAGGCTTCCTCCTCCCACCCATTCTCTTTGAAGCTTCTGGACAAACAGACCCTGTTTTGGGAATTACAAAACCCAGAGAAAACCAAAAACTCAGAACTCTAATCTGAAGCCCCTCACATATGTGAGACCCCTGTGTTATTTTGAATCCCACTACTACAGTAGCAGGACAAAAGATCAATCCAAGTGGCAGGCAAAAAACATGGTTGATTAACTGGCTGAGGTCAGTCCAGGAAGAAGGCATAAACGTTGTTAATAATCCAGCTGGCAGGCAGAAGCATAGTCGATAAACAGGCCAGAGTCAGTTCAGGTGGAAGGCAGAAATGTGGTGAATAAACAATGCAGATGGCAGGAAGAGGCATAGCCAATAAACAGGCCAGGGTCAGTTAAGGTAGAAGTCAGTGGCATGGTTGGTTGAGGCAGCAGGCAAATGATCAGCAGAGGTATTGAAAACAGGGAAATGGCAGGCTGTTAGAAATATGGGCTAATATTTTAGTGACGTGTGAAAACGTCGGAAGAAGTCTCCAATGCACAGGCCTGGTTGGGACACTGGGGAGAATGAAAACTGATATCTCTTCTAACTCCCTCACTGCTGCACACCCAACATCTTTTTTTGGCATCTTCGGCATGCTTCTGTTGATGGAATGCTTTCAGGGAAATGGTGCTCATGAAGTCTGCTCACAGAATCGGAATAAATGCTTCCTGGGGGTGATCCTTGCTGGTAGATAAGGGACGTGATGATTTCTTCTATAAATTTGAGGAAGGCGGTGGGTCTTTCTGTAGATTTGGTGTAGATGAGATAGGCATTATAAATAGCTAAATTAATAAGATAAATTGCAACTTTTTTATACCAGAAACAGGATCTTCTTGTTGCTAAATAGGGCTGTAAAATCTAATCATTGAAATCCACTTCTCCCCATGTAGAGATTATAATCTTGGATGCACGCAGGCTTTTGAATGGGACCATGTTTTCCAGGAATTTCTACTGAGGTTTCATTGTGGATGGCAGACACAATGTAAAAGTCTCTCTTATCCTTCCACTTCAGCCAGCACTTCATCATTTCTTAGACTTGCTAATTCCCCCCTTTGTAGTCTGGTGTTCACTAGAGCTTGTGGGAGATACCACAGGCCAAGGTTTTATCATGGTCCAGGTGTCAGAAAAGGGGCAGACTGGTATAGAAATTGTCTAGGTAGGTGTGATAGCCTTTTTGGAAAAGTGGAAAAGCCAGGTTCCAGACAATTTTTCCACTTGTGCCAATGTAGGTTGGACACTCAGGGGGCTGGAGCTGGGAATCTTTACCTTCTTACAAGTAGAACACATACAAATATCCAGTGGCTCTTTCACACAGCTTGTAGAGCTTTACTCCATATCTGGCCCTTTTGCTTGGAATATATTGCTCGATTCCCAGCCAGCCAGTTAAATGGACAAGAGATTCATCAACACATATGTTTTGTTCAGAGACATAAAGTTCAGCAAATCTTTAGGGAAAAAAATTAAGAAGTGGGTGAATTTTGTATCATTTTGAATAATTTGTCATTGGGATGGAGTTGGGATGATCTCCGGGAGGGCACTGAAATGAAGGAATCACTCTTTCTTTGCATTAAAACAGACCTAAAGAGGCTCTTCACCCTAGAAAAAACAGTCAGCAGCTACAAATACTATAGCTGCTGTATTTTAATAAAAGGGCACTTACCTGTCCAGGGATACAGCTCAGTCCTCATGAGTCAATTCTTTACCAGTCTTTGAGTCCCTGGCAGTGGCATGTTTACTAAGAAAATCCGTCTGTGACTCCATGCCCCTTCAATAGCCGGCTTCTCACTGTGCATGCCCACGTCAAACTGCACTCTGTTAATGGACCCGCAGCCTTCTGGGACCTGTGACGTATACCAAAAGGCTGCGGGGGGGGAGTGAACTTCTGCTCTGCCATATGAACAGTGGCAAAGTGAGATTGGAGCAGCAATTACTTTTCAATCCATCCAAACAAAACAGTTCATATTGTTTTTTTATATATATTGGAGTATATGTATTGCCAGTCATGGCACACTATACTTAGTCAACCACATACTGAAACTTTCAGTTTTATGTACTGTAGGTATTTAACAAGAACAATATAATTGTCTGAAAACATGTAAAACTCTTAAAATATATAGAAATACCTGAATAGCAATCGGCATAATCTTGTTCTCAAGATTTTTGTACAACAAACAGATGGGTGCAGCAATATATTGAATGGTGCAGGGATCTGTTTTGTTAGCAGAGATGCCATCGAGAAGTTCGTAATCAACTATGAAGATATTTCCAAGCTGAAACACGTGGAAAAGAATAGGGGTTAAATATGTTGAATTCACACCGCCATACGGTTACAAATAAATGTATATATCTTTAGTATTTACCATATACATACCTCAATTTCCTGTTCAAGTGTTAGTTTCCGCTCAAGACTTTCTTCTACCATTTCATGTGTTACAGGAAAATTTTCTGGTATTTTGGTGCATTTTTGTATCATAACTGGATTGCAGCCATTAAGAAACTGGTATCCAAACATGAAGTCTTCCCGCCAATGCTGCATGACATATTCTGTAAAACAATAGAAACAGAATGTACATATATATATATATATATATATATATATATATATATATACAGTGCATTCATAAAGTATTCATAAAGTATTCAGCAGGGCCAGACTGACAACTCATGGGGCCCCCGGGCAATAGGGGATTATGGGGCCCGTGTGTCCTTGCCCAAACTCAAAAAAGCCTATGAAAAAGGTACCAGGGGCATCTCATGGGGCCCCCTACTGTCTCCGGGCCCTCGGGCAGTACTCCGGGCCCTCGGGCAGTTTCCAAATGGTCAGTCCGCCCCTGGTATTCAGACATCCTTCACTTTTTTTCAATTTTGTTATGTTGCAACCTGAAACTACAGTTGTTTAAATTCATTTTTTTTCTCATTAATCCAAACTCAGTACCCCATAATGACAAAGTGAAAACAGTGAAATCTTTAATTTTTCTCACATATAAATAAGTTAGTAAACAGAATATTGCTGAATAAATGAAAGTGTAACTAAACACAACTTTTTTGACTAGTTAAATTTTGGTCAAAGTGAAGTAGAATTTGAACAGCTGTCAGTTTTTATTGCTGTCTGTGCCCCCATTAGGTAGATTCACCCTCTCTATTTCTCTTGTTTCCATCATCATTAAAAGTGAAAGCAAAAGAAAATATTAAATTTTGGGCTGACATCAGAACACTAACAGTGGGAAAATCTTCCATTGGAGACACTAGTTCTGGTGATAACCAGGGATTCCCTCACATTGACACTGTATTGGTGTCACTGGGGATGTCATTGACACCATGTAAGTTCCCCCTAGTGTCAAAATGCCTGCCGCAGTCCCGCTATATGTCGCTGATCACCGCCATTACTAGTAAAAATAAAAAAAATAAAAATTCCAGTATATATACCGCCATTTGTAAACGCTATAACTTTCAAGTAAACCAATGCAAACTGTGCAATTGTCAGTTAAAGTAACGCAGCACTGTAAGACAAAAAATGCCCTGGTCAGGAAGGGGGGTAAATCCTAAGGAGGGCAAGTGGTTAAAGGCTGCATTGTGGTATTTTTACTGATTGTATGACCTATCTTATCTATGCTAATATCCCCAAAGAGGGGAATGTCCTCCCAGGAGTATAAACTATGTGTCTGGGTTTTAATAAACAGTTATTCCTATTGGTTTTATCTCAACATCTTGTTTGCTTATGATGCTTGGGGTAAAGGGCTGGTATTAGCTATCGGTCTGCTCGAAGGGTTCGGAGGGCGGGAGGCACTGTTTGGCAGAGGCACCTAGGTAGTCCCTCACACCTCTCATGTCCTGTTTTGGCTATGAGACAGGAGGTAATGGGACATCTCCCCAATGGGACACAGATGGCAAAAAAACTGACTGGGGTTATAACCCTCCCTTACTCTATCCAAAATAAAAAAAAAGTCCTTTAGTTACGCTTTAAGTACATAATACAGATACTGAGCTGTACTAATTGACCCTTTGTAGTATCTGTCTTCATTTAAATCTATATGTTTTCCCATATTGCCAGTTACTGACGCCATAAGCTACTGTGCATGTCCTGCATATCATATATCATCATTGTGTTGAGTAGGAAGCCATCTAGTGGGTGTTCACTGCAACTGCACTTGTTTTTATTATTCCCTTTCAACAAGAACAGGAGGCGTTTCATGTTCGTTAAGAATAAAGATTTCCCATAAACCATTGCACCAGGGAAGGTCTTCTCCATTCTCCCTTTGATACACATATGCCTGTAAGTTCTTTCATTGTATGTCCATACATAGCTAGATAGCATTTCAATGTATTCAATGTGATTGTAGGTAACTGTTTGCAAGAAATGTATTCATTGTATGCATTTGCGAGAAACATGTGTACAAACATATTGTAATTCCAGTGTATGTGATTGTATTGCAGTTTTACAGAACTATGCACAGAAGTAAATTCAGTTTTGGAATGAAACACACAAGGCTGCTGCTTTCAGTTTTGTTAGCTAGCTGTCAATTAACCGTTAGTAGGCCAGCATAATCCATATGCTGTAGAAAACCAAATTCCAAACACAACACAGCAGAGCCTTGAAAAACATTGACAATGTCCTGGAATGTACCTGATATTGTATTGCTAATTCTGACAAAGATCTTTTCAAAATCTGCAAAGTCACTCCATGAAGACTGGAACATGTGCATGAAGCTGTTCACAAACAGGTTTTCCATCCTAAGAAATGGATACATACATATTACAGTAAACAAAACTATCAAAATGAAGTACTTATTTGTATATACAAAGTTACTGAAGAATTATATTGTGATTGACTTTGAAACTGCTATTATGATACAGCAAAAAGAATCGCAGATATGTCTACTTGGCATTCAGTACTTTACTAAGAAGTGACAATACCAGTTGTTAATGTAGTAGGTAGTTACACTTAGTTACATGAACATATTTGGAAATTTGCTGCAAAATAACAAAACCTTTGTCTCCTAGTAACATATGTACCCCAGATTACTTAAAGTGGAACTTCACTGTCTCAATCAACATGGACTATTTTTGAATCTTATGCTGCAGGCATTAGTAAATGGCTAGGAAATTCTATCATATTTATATATTTTCAACTTTTTTTTATATTCCTTTAGTTACTTCCTGGATTTCATGCCTAGGCAAATGATGTCATACATCCCAGGAGTCTTCAGGAGGGGAAGGAGGGTTCTCAGCTCAGCCAATGCCTTAGCTAAGGGCAAATGGATTCCAGGAAGTAAATGCTACATGAATCATCTGCCCTTACTCAAGATGGCCACAGCCAGAAATGCCAGGGGGCGTTTTTAAAAATTATTTCTCAGCAAAATAAAGCATGGAGACATGGATGGATGGGGGAATTTGCTCTGAACATTAGCAATTAACTAAATATACATTTTGGTTTGTGGTGCTCAGATGGAGTGCAGTTCCATTTTAAGCACTTACATCAGATTGTGAGCTGTTAGACAGTGTTTGACATTACTGGGTTTTACATTTCCTGTAACCAGATTTTATAACACACGATGCTTCTAATGCTAAAAAATAGAGCAAGTGATGATTAAAGCAAAACACGGGTATATTGAAATTGTTATTTACAGTAATGAAAGGGGTAGTAAAAAAACCCTACTGTGTACTTTTGCATGGGAACTAATCAAATTTCAACTTCTCTTGGTGCAGGGTTGTCATCCCAATAAATGATGGTTTGGCTCCCTACTAGAGTACATTCTCAGTAGAATCCCAGTATAATCAACCCACTAAATGAAAATTTAGCTTTAGATTTCTTTCTTGCTATAATCCCAGTATTGTCTTGATTTGACTCACATAATTGGGTACAGTCCTGCAATAATCCCAGTGCAGTTAGCCCGCTAAAGGCTGATTTGACTCATATACTTGGGTAAAACACATTTGATTTTAAAGACAATGTGCACCCCTTATAGTAACTAGTCACAACTGGATTCACTCTTATTTAGATCTCATTCTATAGTACATTCTGCTATAATGCCAGTATTGTCTTGATTTAGATCACATACTGTAATTGAGTACATCCCAACTACAGTATTTTCTGGCGTATAAGACTACTTTTTATACTTAAAAATACACCCCAAAAATTGGGGGTCGTCTTATACGCGGGGTATAAAATGTGAACCTTGAGTTTGTTTGGGTCAAGCTGGCTGGATGTGTGGTAATACTGTACATACAGTATACCGCGCTGAGCCAAGCTGGCTCAAAACAAATGTCCCTATGACAGATTAATCTGTCAGCCCGCTGGATGTGCGGTATATACAGTATACTGCGCTGAGCTAAGCGGTTTCAAAACGTACCGGTACGTCCCTTCTGTAATCAGCCCGCTGGATGCGTGTATGTACGGTAGCTGCGGCTACTTACAGTATACACTGGCCCAATCACGGCGAGTGATGTATTCTACTAATGAATACAAAGCCTGCTCGGATTGGCTGAGTCAGAGAGGTGGGCTGATGATGTCACAACCTCAGCTAATCTGAACAGGCTTTGTATTCATTAGTAGAATACATCGCTCGCCGTGATTGGCCCAGTGTATACTGTATGTAGCCTCAGCTACCGTACATACACACATCCAGCGGTCTGATTACAGTAGGGATGTACCAGTATGTTTTGAAACAGCTTGGCTCAGTATACTGTACATACCACACATCCAGCGGGCTGACAGATTAATCTGTCATAGGGACATTTGTTTTGAGACAGCTTGGCTCAGCGCGGTATACTGTATGTACATTACTGCACATTCAGCGGGCTGTATATATACCGTATACTGTATGTAGCCGAAGCTACCGTATTACCGCACATCCAGCGGTAACCATCTGATTTGGAATTTGATCCATATGATGACTGTCTTACAAATGTATCACAAGATGTCATTCATGAACTTATGATGTCAGAGGATGAACATGAGGATTTTGAAGGATTTTAAGTACCGGTATGTCATAACCATTTCAATTAAAAAATCTGATGTTTTTAAATGGTGTTGCCTCGGAAGGGGGGTAGTCTTATACACCCAGTCGCCTTATACGCCGGAAAATACGGTATTTTCCAATGTAGTTAACCCACTTAGAGATGATATCAGCCCATGAAAGGAAGATATAGATTACATACTAGGGTACATCCCTGTTATAATGCCATGTAGTCAACCCACATAAGGATGATATTGATTTTACATTTGGACATTTGGATTATAATCCCATTTAGTCAGCCCTCTTAAGGTTTATATAGATTACATACTAGGTACATGACTGCTGAGAAGCCTAGGTGCATTTTGACCACTAACGTAACGAAAAAACCTTGCCCCCCAAAAAGACACAGAGGATGATTAAGTTGGAACTAGGCCACAGCTTTATTGAACTTTCCGAAATGTAACAACATTCAAAGAAACCATATAACAATGCCAGTCATGGTTATACTGTGGGCATCCATAACAAAAACACACAGATAGTCTAAGAGGCCTGTCTTCACCATCAGTGCCAGACAGGCATTAAACTGACCTCAGAATTGAACTTGAGGGCATAGCCCATAAAGCAATATTAACCGCTGCCAAGGTAAAACTGCCAATAAAGCTGTGATGAAACTCACAACAGGTGGAAGGGTGGGCAACTCTTGTGACGTCTGAATCTCATCAGAGTAGTGGGACATGCTCCTGTGTAGCCTTTTTCTATAGTTCAGGCTCCACCCAGTCACCTCATGTCTTGGGGGCCAATCCTATCGGAGCCACTTAACATCCCTGTTTTAGGTTTACTCCCACGTAGCTGCCAAGCTTCCAGCAGTGAAGGCTCCTTTACCTAGGAGGAGGAAGTGGGTTCAAGGGGCCTTCATTCCTGCTATAATCTCATGTAATCAGCCCACTAAAGGATGAAGTGGCTCCCACTAGGGTAAAATACATTTTAAAGACATCATGCACGTCTAGTAGTAGTCAGTCACATTCAACTTATTCTGTAATGTTTAAGAAGTTTCATAGTTTATCCAAGCCACTTCTTTGCTGGCTTGGACAAGTATGTACATGTGTGTAAATAATTTATTGGTGGTTGCCTAGTTACCTATTTCCTGCTTCTTATATACAAGGGGCAAATACAACTTCACAGGCTCTGGATTGAATTTAAGCCATAGGACCCGATTTTCGATGCATTACTTGTCACTTTCTATTGAATTAATAATATTTTAATTCCCTTCAGAAATCTGAAAATGAATCTAAATACAGCAAATACTGGTTGATTTACTAAAACTGGAGAGTGCAAAATCTGGTGCAACTGTGCATGGCAGCAAATCAGCTTCTAAGTTCAGCTTGTTCAAGTAAAGTGTAACTAAACCCACAACAGTAAAACCTGTAAATGCAGTAAAGCATGCTTGTTATACTCACCGTGGAACCTAAGGGGTTTATCCTCTGCATTGTGTAAAAAGACGGGTTGATCCTTTCTTCTCTGTTCCTCCCCTTTTTCAAGTGACCACCTCTTATCTCCTGATAAGACAGGCTGAACTGTAGGCATTTGCACATGCTCAGTTTGTGTGTCTTGCTAGAAAGGTTTTTTTTTTTTTGCTTGGGAGAGTGCATGTGATCTGCACAGGGCCAATCAGCACTGTCCAGGCAGAGGTCAGGGGTTCTACATCCTTCTACAGCAGAAAAAAAAAACTCTTCCTACAAGCTTTAGCTAGTACTGGGCTGGACATAGAAGTCACAAGACTGTTCAAACTTCTGATGAGAAAAGGTATTTAGCAGTTTATTTTACTAAAATAACTGCATTTCCATGTTCTGTGTACTGTGAGAGACCAGATATAGTGAATGCAGAGTCCTGGGTTTAGTAACACTTTACGCTTTGACAAAATAACTGGCAGTTGATTTGTTTCCATGCACAGCTGCACCAGATTTTGCACTCTCCAGTTTTAATAAATCAACGCCATAGCATATTAATCTTAATATATTTAAGGCCTTTACGTGAGGTGATAATATTTGCACATCTGTTTTCCTTTGGAAACAGTCTAAGAATGTTTTTCTGTTAAACTTTTAGTGTCACTTTAAGCAGAATCTCACGAACACCAGTAAAGAATCAGCAAAAATGTCTGCTCCATTAGTCTATACAAAACTAAATACAAGTTTTGTCTGGAGTTGGGCTTTGTTCCTATTTTTCCTTAGAAAAATAAATTAGCAGGAAATGGTGACAATGAGGTTGTTCCACAAGTTGCAAAACCAGCTCAATAATTATAATTATCTCTGATTATCGAAAGTACTTATTACTGAGGGCTGTAGAAGCTGATGCTCGAATCTGTTGCATAACTTGCTGTTATCATGGCCAGGCTTACTGCAAGAGTGAATCTTGCAATACGTTTAGAGTGTATGTAAAACCAAATCGCAAATTCTCACACAAGCCTTAATGTGATAAAGTAGAACTATAGGCAAAACATATTTTTTCATTTTGGATAGAGTAAGGGTGGGCTATAACCCCTGTCAGATTATTTTTTGTCATCTGTGTCCCATCGGGAAGCCAAACAGGAAGTCAGAGGAAATTCCTGCAAATTAAGAGAATTTTTTGGGCACCCTAAGGTCACCAGAACTAGTGTCCTCATTGGAAAATTTCCCCTCTATTACGTTTCTGAGGCCAACTCAAAATTTGGGGTTTTCTTTTACTTTCACTTTCAATGATAATTGTAAACAAGACAAATAGAGAGAGTGAATCTCCCTAATGAGGTGACAGACAGCAATAAAAACCTAATGGCTGTTCCAATCCATCTCCACCCAGTCCTAAACTTAAAAAAACATTTTTGCCTTTAGTTATACATTATTGTTATTTCAAAAGTATTTTTCAATCTTTTCAAATATGCCACTTTTATTAACGTAATAAATGATGATCCTGCCATGAAGGTTTTTCGTTTGGCTCTTCTTGTTATTGGGTGACACTAGTCTGTCCCTGTTTTTAATTGCTTTCCTGCATTGTCATCCTGATGCATGGAGTTCCAATGGAGACTAAAAGGGGCTTCTTCAACACACATTACACACGTGTGGCCCATGTTGTCACCATCCATAAACCTGAACTAAGAAATGCTATGTAGTTGTTGCTGGAGATCAGTGAACAGGGGAAGGACAGGTCCCCAAAGTCCATCCCTCTGCCAGTCGTATGGTCCATAAAGTTAAGTTGGCCAAACAGTCAGAAAGTGACTGCTTAGGTTTCTTATCAAAAGTACTATATCTTCTGCAAGGATTGTGCCATAGAAATGCTCTGCATTACATTTTTATTTGCAAAAGAAAGATTTTCACAATACCCCCGCAGAAGCTGCTTGGTAGATTGGGTTCTCTATTATTCTGCCCTGACTCTGAAAACAACTCCAGCCTCTCCAACACACCAAGATAAGCAAATGGATATTGCACTGCTACCGGGAGCACAAATATAGATACCCTGCACACAACTAAGGTTCAGTATTAAAAAGGAAACCTCGGGCTGGTTAGGGGCAAACAAACCCAGTATATTGTCATGGGTTGCAGCAGGGGCGGACTGACAACTCATGGGGCAATATGGGATCATGGGGCCCCTGTGTCCTTGCCCAAACGCAAAAAAGCCTATGAAAAAGGTACCAGGGGCATCTCATGGGGCCCCCTACTGACCCTGGGCCCTCGGGCAGTGCTCGCGTTTCCAAATGGTCCAATGGTTGCAGTAAGTACCAATATGCACATAAATGAGTATGTAAAGGATTATGGCAATCACAGTTCACTAGACATTATGTTCACCAGGCTAAAGCAGCATAGAATAAAGTTTTATGCAGTTAAATCAGAGTAAAACTTTCAATCCACAAAAGGAGCAATAAGTAATGGTCTTAGAAAACAGTAACAGCAATGATCATCAATACTGCAACAACTCCTCTGCATTGCAGTAGGCTATATCCACTTTAGAGTTCACTCTGTATATGAATGCCAGCAATGAAATGTAAGACTCAATAAAGAGGTACCTCTTAATATGAACTATAGGCAAAGTTCTTGTGAAGCAGCTATCTGAGTGAGCAATCTTTAGCCCTAGTTCTTCAGCTAGTGTTGGAGCCTAGTCTTTCATGGAGGTACAAATGAGTAGAGTCCCAGGAAAGTCTGCAAGCAGTAAATAATGCTACTAGTGCTCAGTCTCTGCAACAGGTTGATGGCAGCAAAGTCCTCTTATCAGTCCCAGAAATACAGCAACAAGGGTCTCACTGTTCAGAAGGGGTCTTCACTTCTGGATCTTCATGGAGAGACTTAAAGCGGCGTTCCACCCTTTTTTTAATGTCCCTCTGTTAACACTGTTCCTGTGGTTTCCAGCACGATTAGGATAATGATATATTTTTTTAAATATTGTAAATACCTTTAAATCATGTGCAAGATTGCACTTCTGGTCCCGACCACCTAGGCGATGATGTATGAAGGCAATTCGCAAAGTCTCCTGGGATGTCAAGTCCTGTATCCCAGGAGTCCTTTGGGTTCCTAGTTGCTGACTATCGCGTTAATTCAAAACTGAAAATTGCGCCAAGCAGTGTCATTACGAGATTGAGTGGTGCATGCTGGGATAGCCAGCAGCACCAAGTCCAGGAAATATAGACTTGTGGGCTTCAGATGCATCATGGCGCCTGCCTGCTTCTGAGATCAAGGTAACCTGTTACTTATTTAAAACTAATTAGAAGGCTATACCAAATAACTTTATCCATTTATTAATATTAAAGAATAAACAATACTGGGTCAGCTTTTAAAATAGATTTGTTATGGGGACTGGAACTCCGCTTCAAGCACATGGCTGCAGGTTTATGGCAGGTTAATGTGCACACAAGAGCAGTGATGTGCACACCTCAGTCTCCCTGCAGCAAAGAGAAAGTTCCTTGGTATTCAGCCTGAGAAAACAAAACTCTCTTCCCTTATACCTGGCTTGCATTTGGAATTGTAGTTCAATGGTCTACATTCTGCCTTAGTAAAGTTTCTTTACTGAACGTCATCTTCCATGATTTATTGACACCAACCATCAAGTTTCTTGAGCTCTTTTTGCTTGTCAGCCCTCCAGGGTGGTTTGAGGTGAGGTCATTTTAACCCATTCAGCTGAAGCTCATTGGGAGCACAGAGAGCAATGCAGCACAGTGTCCTAAATTGCTGACTCTCTGTAATCAAGCACCTGGTTACACAAGCAATACAATAATATACACAACCAGTTTATAAATGTGTAAACAGTAAATAAAATATAAAATGAAACCAAAAGCCATTATTATTTCCTTTTAGCTTTTTAAGCCACACTCCTTTACTGTTAATATTTTCTACTTACGCTTTGGTATAGTTCAAGATGAAATCAACACCCTTTTCACTGTCAAACTGAATATCATGGGGCAAGTCACTATGACAGTGAGCATCAATACTCAGTGGAAAACCAGGATGCCATTCCTTCCACCTGTATAAAAATAGGCATTGGCATAAGCTATGGTATATAAACTAACATAATGTATCATTTTTGTTGTTGCTTTATTCTCACTGCAAATAATTGTATGCTTTGATACAGTGACTGTTAACGTGTATGTAAAGGCAAAACAATCCATTTTAGATTTGTCATGAGTGCAAGAGATAAGAGGAAATTGTCCAATTGGGGCAAATGCTTCAATGATAGCTTTCTTATATGGGAATTTTTGTCACTTTAGGAAGGTTTCTTCCACTTTCTGTATTGTCCCCATGTCTCTCCAAATTGATAAGAGTTTTAAAACCCTTCCCTACTCTATTCAACACAAAAAGAGGGGATGACTTGTCTCACAGGCTTTAACCTTTTGGTTTTGCACAAATATTATTACTGTAAAAATCAAAACTTACATAAAAACAACATATTAAGGGTTTGATTTAAAAGCAACAATATGACCTTACCACAGCCATACAGCTGCTTAAAAAAGGCACACAACTGTGCTTTATAAATGTGCTTCGGTGATGTGCTAATATTCTCCAATCACAGAGTTCACTCTGTTGTATTAAATAGAAAGAACTCCATACACCATAGCTCTACACCATAGTTTGTTGTGCTGTCCTTTATTGTTGGCCCCTGATTGTCCTTATGCTCCTAGCTTAAAAGATGATTTTGACAAAGAAGCCTGTGGCAATCTGAGGATAAATGTGATTGTACACCATGTTACTATTTTACCAGCAAGACTTATAGAACTTGTCACTCCAAAGGGGTTTGTCATCTTTACAATACCTAATATTAAATGGATCTTGCATCAGATATTTGGATGCTGAGTCGAAGATGGCACAGTTATGTAAATCCTGGTGCCTTTAGATGTCTTGGCTGGGTTTATATATATCTGACACAGCCCCCTGATGCAGCCCCTCACCTTGTGGTTTGCTATTAAGGCATAATGTTGTGAGATCACTGGGAGAAGAGACTAAACCTGGCCATACACTGTCAAATTTGGCCAGTCTGGCAGGGACCAGCTAAATTTCAATCAGTGTGTGGGATTCTCTCTGCTTGATAGATATGGTTTCCCAAAGGTTTTGAGAGTCCCCAAGAGACACTGAAAGCTTGGACCACAGAGTGACATAGGACATTCTCGTAACTAGAAAAGACACATAATTCCCAAGGACACTGAAATGAACAGGTGTAACACTGGATTCAGAATACTCCAAGGGCTTGGGGTTAACAGGACTCATTCAGCAGCGGTGAGAATCCTGAGAAGGGCCAAGGTGCAGGGTCTAAGGAGCATCATGGTATTCACCAGAGCACCCTGCAAGGAACTTTGCTGCTGATAGCCCAGGTTGCTGCCCTCTGATTCACTTGAAGAGGCAGCTACTGAGCAGGAAGCACAAGAAGACAGGACTGAGAGTCTCCTGGAGCAGGAAAGTGCTGGAATCATGGAAACAAAGGAGTGCTGGAAACTCAGGAATACAAGTGAAAGTCTCTAGGAGCAATGGGCTGTTGGAATCATGAAGAAATAGGAAAGAATCCCTAGAAGTACAGGGGTGCTGGGCATAGAAATACACAGGGAGCAAGCAGGGGAAAAGGGTCACATAATATTCAAGAAGTCACAGAGGTGCAGATGGTGCCCAGAGGATGCTTGAAGCCAGGACCACTGGAGAGCTTGGAATACACAGGGGTCACACAGGGTATTTGGAAACAAGAGTGCTTGAGAGTAGTCACAGAGGTACACAGGGACTGCAAGGGGCACTGGAGATAACCAGAGACACTAAAGCACTAGGTTGTACAGGGGTACAGGAGACAATCTCAGAAGACACTATGGAGCTCGGTAGCTAGATTGTTGATGTGGTGCTCAAATGCCAAACAACACATGCTTTTGCCCTTTTAGGAACAGCCAGGCTCTGATTGGTGTGGTGCTAATGGCCAAGAGCTGGAACAGAGACTCAGCACTGGAGTGGGGAGCAGGTGAGTGTGGTATTTTATCCAATCGTATCTTTGAGAAAGGTTGGTAGTGCTCATAAACATGGTGATTACCATTTGATATGGCCAACAATTATGACTTTTGCTCCCTTGTTCAACTTTTTTATTGTAACAGCCAAAGTTTGTACCTGAGCTTTAACAAGACAAACTTTATTCATGTGCAATTGTTCTCTGATGTCTCAATCTACAACTGAACAACTAACTACTAGAATATCACATCCTAGCTGTGCATATTGGTATACCTTCATGACTGGTGTGAACTGACATTCCCTTTTAGTTGTTTCAGCCCCACCTTTCTATTTTAGCAAAATGTTTAACAAATACCTGTATTGTTTTTGCCTGTCTTCCAGTTCTTTCCTCCTGTGTTGTTTGTGGGTCTGTGTTATATCCTGTGTGACCAGTTTTGCTGTTGTGGAAAAAAATGGTATCAATTTTAGTTTTAGTAGCCTGAAAAGGACTGTAGGGGGAATATAGTCTTTTTTCTATATGCACAAAATATAATGCAAATAATGTTGTTAGAGTTTGTAATTGTACAAAGAGAACACTACATATGCAGGTTGTGCTCTTTGTGTCACTGGAAGTCCACTAGACAGGGTATGTCCGATTAAACACAATAGACCAGTGGTCTCCAAACTATAGCCCTCCAGGTATTGAGGAACTGCAAGTCCCATGAGGCCTTGCAAGACTCTGGCAGCCACAGGCAAGACTCCCAGAGGCAGAGGCATGACTTGTAGTACTTCAGTAGCTGGAGGGCCATAGTTTGGAGACCCCTGGGGACTATCTATAGCCTCTAATAATGTGAAATGCATATTACAAACTTCCAGTGAAGCAAACTGTCATGTGTTTATCACTTAAAAATGCATTATATCACTAAGAATCACTGGACACTAAGAATATAGTGAATGCTGAATATACACAAATGGACCCATTGACATCTCAATAATCTTCAGGGTGCAATGATCTAATGGACAATTTTTAGATAGCAAAGAAAACCCAAACAATCAAGTTATGTGTTATGTGTGTATGTGAATATTCATATGCTATCTATATAGTGTATGCAGCTGAAATGTAATTGTTACTTTGTGATACTGAAAACAGCTACATGAGTTGGGTACTTTTTAATGTAACAAGGATTATACTTACCATGTTTCTAGTTCATTATATACTATGTATGAAATATGGCTATGCGGAATGATTTTTTTTATTGATTAGTTTTTTTTTATGTGGTTAGATCAATCATTCTAAAATAATTAGCTGTATTCACAGTTTTTTGTATATTTACACTCTAACATTTCCAGTGGTGGACTGACAACTCATGGGGCCCCCGGGCAATAGGGGATCATGGGGCCCCTGTGCCCTTGCTCAAACTCAAAAAAGCCTATGAAAAAAGGTACCAGGGGCATCTTATGGGGCCCCCTACTGACCCCGGGCCCTCGGGCAGTGCCCGAGTTTCCAAATGGTCAGTCTTCCCCTGAACATTTCTGTTATTTATAAAGGGAAATGCACAATGGCTTGTTCATGCTATTTCTAATTAGAAATTCAGATAGATTCAGTAGTAAAACAATTATATAAATAGCATAGTATTAAGTCTAAGGATCCTAACTGCAACCTATTATATAAAACATTTGCTGGTATGTTTTGTTGCAGGAAGGATTGGCACCCACAGGAGAGGAGAGTATGGAAATAAGGGGTGCAAACAATGTTGACTGAAATCATAATTTTCTGCTGTTTTATTCATAAATGGCAACAACTCCTCTCTGATAGAGTATGTATGCATTTGTATATATATTTCATTAGAGCAAACATCAGGGTAAAAATTGGACTGAAGAATGCCAGTGGATGCTGAGGTTTATGAAATGTTGTTTCTTGTGAATCTAAGCAGGAGAGCTGAAAAGAAGGGATTGCGGGCATGATGACTAATCCCCCGCGATGCATCTGCTAGCTAACAGGCTGCCTGGGCTGCTTCTATTAAATTTGGGCTTCCTCCAAACTCATCTCTAGTCAAACTCAGACCCTGCATTCTTTTTGTACTCCAACAAGCTGCGTGTGGGTCATACTCGGCCTGCAGCTCGTGTAAGAGGCCAACTGAAGTGTGGGTTCGGCTAGACATGAGTTCAGAAGATGCCCACATTCATCTCTAATGGGGATCTGAGTTTTTTTTTTTTACAGTGTAAGATTTTTTGCTGAACAAACTTTCATTTTTGGCTAACATGGGGCTGCCGATGTAAACATTTAAAATTTAGATCTAAAATTAAACATTTTAGATTGTCCAAGCAAATATTACAATTCATTTTAGCCTTCTCAAAATGATATCATGATTTCTATTAACGGGTGGAACGTGGCTGATCTTGTGTATGTTTAATGGTCAGGGTTTGTTGAACTAGCAGGCTTCAGTGTAGTTACATTTTTGCAGTCAAATTTTGGAAAACACTCTATATGTTGGTTATGTGTTTCCGTTTACACAGCATGCCTAAAAATGCATACATTTCTAGTTGTTGCTTTGGAGCAGGCCTTTGGGCAGACTGCAGGATACTCTCAAAGATTTGAAAGTGAAATAAAGAGGGATAATGTGGGGACAAAGTGCATTAACATACAATGCAGAACCTAAGCTCTGTTAGGACAGGCAATATTCAAATCTAGTTTGGAATAATGAGATCTGTCAGCACAGTGCATACAGAGTTAATAATGGTAGACAATAACTCCCCAGCATCTTCCTTCCCATTAGGTAGGTGTTATCACAATTTGGATGCAAAAGTGAAAATATATTTTAATGCTTTCCTGCCTACTGTAAAATGTTAGAAACATTCCTGCAGCCTTATATGAACTTGCAGCCACTATCTGAACAGGACCAATTCTTATGCTATCAACAAAAGGACTATTACTCCTCGTGAAGGTTGCTATAATGTAATATCTGTGTTATTTTATCTTCTTTAAAGTGTTACTAAACCCAGGACCCTGCATTCACTATATCTGGTCTCCTGCAGTACCAGGAACATGGAAGTGAAATTATTTTAGTAAATATAAACTGCTAAATACCCTTTCTCATCAGCAATATATAGCAGTCTTGTGACTTCTATCAGTGTCCAGCTGAGCACTGATTAATCTTGTAGGAGGAGTTTTCATTCTGCTCTGACTGTCCTATGAGGCTGCATACTCCCTGACACTCTGGACAGTGCTCATTGGTCCTGTGCAGATCACATGCATTCTCACAAAGAAAAAAAAACAGCTCTCTAGCAATACACACCAAAGTGAGCATGTGCAGAGTGACTCTTAGGGCTCTGTACTATCAGCAGATGGATTGGGGGACAGTAGAAGAAGGGGAGGATCAGAGAAGACAGGATCAAACAGCCTTTTTACACAATGTGGAGGATTAACCCCTTAGGCTCCACAGTGAGTATAATAAGAAAACTGTATAGACTGATTTTACTAATGTGGGTTCAATAACACTTTAAAGCAGTTACCCAGACATAGAGATCCTAAAAACATCACTGTCTTGTCAATAACATTGCTGAATTATATTGTTTAAAAAACTCACTAAAAAGCACTTTTGGCAGCAGATTTAGGAGGAAGTGAAAATAGGCCTTAGACGTCCCATGAGTTGAAATGCAGCAGGGCTTCACTAGCACACAGGAACCAAAAAAAGTAAGTGTGGCAAACAAATCTACTAAAATGATGCAGAGGAGGATGATGGGAGTTAGATAATGGACACATGGTGGAGGGTTTAGTCCTGCTTTAATAATTAGTAAAATGTGTTGAGAGCAACACTTATGGTCTCACCTATAAATCTAATGAGAGCAGGAGAGGTGATTTGAATTTCTTTACAACCTTTCTATCCAAGTTCCATAAGCCACATGTTTTCTGCTGGGCCTACTGTCTTGGCAATTGTGGAGCAAATGACCTTTTTCAACTTTTATTAAAATTGGCTTGGCATGGAGTTGCTGTTTATTATATTGTTCTAATAAAATTCTGAATGCTAAAGTCCAACTAATACCAACCTGTCCCTTCACGAAGAACAATTTCTTTATCGTTGCTGATCCACCTGTAGCAAGGGAACTCCAAGTAGTCTCCCGCAGGAGTCTTTACTGTGATGTGTCGACAGTACCAGTCATCTTTATACCAGTATTTATGTTTCTCGATTTTTATTAGCTGAATCTCTCCAAGATCTTCTGATACGGTGACATCATAGGAATCTACCTATAGGTAACAACATGTACCAGGTTAATAGAAGACTTTAGAGACAGATACTGTATATAGATAGATATATAAATAGATAGACAGATAGATAGATAGATCGATCTACAAGTGTGGAATGAGTAGGCAATAATGTTCAACCTTTAATATAATTAAATCATGAATTAAGTACTATTTATAAATCAAATATAACATGATTTTAGGGTGACAGGTAGTGCTGCACTTTCTTGTTAGTAATGCTCACCACTTAATAAAGCTGCAAGCTATTACAGCCGGGTGCCCACACTGAAGATGCCAGTGCGGGGGACACAGGATGTCCGGTAAACCTGACCGGTGTGAACACACAGCTGGATCGAGGGACAGGTGAGTGCCTGTTTTTTAAAAGCCAGCAGCTTCAGTTTTTGTAGCTGCTGACTTTTATTTTTTTTTATTTTGACTGGACCTCCACTTTAACCGTTTCCAGGCTGTCCTATAGCAGAACTACTGCTACAGGGTGGTAGGGCTGCTCAAAATTACGTATATACAGTGAGAAACAGAAGTATTTGAACACCCTGTGATTTTGCAAGTTCTCCCACTTAGAAATCATGGAGGGGTCTGAAATTAACATTGTAGGTGCATTCCCACTCTGAGAGACAGAAATTAAAAAAAAAAAATTCAGGAAATCACATTGTATGATTTTTAAAGAATGTATTTGTCTTGCACTGCTGAACATAAGTATTTGAACACCTGAGAAACAGCAAGAATTCTGGCACTCAAAGACCTGTTACTGTGCCTTTAAAACGTCCACCTCTACTCCACTCATTAATCTAACTTAGTAGCACCTGTCTGAGCTCTTTAAAGACACCTGTCCACCCCACAGTCAGTCAGACGCCAACTACTACCATGGACAAGACGAAAGAGCTGTCAAAAGACACCAGAGACAAAATTGTGGACCTCCACAAGGCTGGAAAGTGCTACGGGGCAATTGCCAAGCAGCTTGGTGAAAATAGATCAACTGTTGGAGCTAAAGCCGACTGTCAGTCTCCCTAGGACTGGGGCTCCATGCAAGATCTCACCTCGTGGGGTATCACTGATGATAAGAAAGGTGAGAAATCAGCCCCGAAATACAAGGGAGGAGCTGGTCAATGACATGAAGAGAGCTTGGACCACAGTTTCAAAGGTCACTGTCGGTAGAACACTATGCCATCATGGTTTCAAATCATGCATTGCACGGAAGGTTCCCCTGCTCAGGTCATCACATGTCCAGGCCCATCTGAAGTTTGCCATTGACCATCTGGATGATCCAGAGGAGGCATGGGAGAAAGTCATGTGGTCAGATGAGACCAAAGTAGAACTTTTTGGTCTAAACTTCACTTGTCGTGTTTGGAGGAAAAAGGATGAGTTGCATCCCAAGAACACCATCCCTACTGTGAAGCATGGGGGTGGTAACATCATGCTTTGGGGGTGCTTTTCTCTGAAGGGGACAGGACGACTGCACTGTATTAAGGAGAGGATGAATGGGGCCATTTATTGTGAGATTTTGAGCAACAATCTCCTTCCTTCAGTCAGAGCATTGAAGATGGGTCGTGGCTGGGTCTTCCAACATGACAACGACCCGAAGCATATCAAGGTTCTGGAGTGGCCTAGCCAGTCTCCAGTCCTAAATCCAATAGAACATCTTTGGAGGGAGCTGAAACTCCGTGTTGCTCAGCGACAGCCCCGAAACCTGACAGATCTAGAGGAGATCTGTGTGGAGGAGTGGGCCAAAATCCCTGTTGCAGTGTGTGCAAACCTGGTCAAGAACTACAGGAAACGTTTGACCTCTGTAATTGCAAACAAAGGCTTCTGTACCAAATATTAACACTGATTTTCTCAGGTGTTCAAATACTTCTGTTCAGCAGTGCAATAAGACAAATAAATTCTTTAAAAATCATACAATGTGATTTCCTGAATTTTTTTGTTTTTAATTCTGTCTCTCAGAGTGGGAATGCACCTACAATGTGAATTTCAGACCCCTCCATGATTTCTAAGTGGGAGAACTTACAAAATCGCAGGGTGTTCAAATACTTCTGTTCCTCACTGTATACATGATTCTGCATTTGCGGGTAGGGGGCGCATGCGTGCACATGCCGCTCTACCCACGCCACCGTGGCAGCTGTCAATCATCAGGTAATTGCCGAGGAACACTGACAGGGGAGAGGTCTGTATATAAACAATTCAGATCTCTCCCCTGTCAGCACCATCATGCTGCTTTGTATTGCTTAGCATAGGAGAGCAATACAAAGCAGCATGCTTGCATAGTAAAACACGCACAGCACACTTAGTAAAACAGCACACAGTTAACCCTTTGATCGCCCCAGATGTTAACCCCTTCCTTCCCAGTATCATTAGTACAGTGTCAGTGCTTTTTTATTAGCACTGATTGCTGCATTAGCATCACTGGGGATGTCAGTGGCAGTTAGTCAGTTCTCCCTCAGTGTCAGAATGCCTGCTGCAGTCCCGCAGTCCCTCTATAAGTCGCTGATCGCTATCATTACTAGTACTGAAAAAAATTCCAGTATATATACCACCATCTCTCGAGCAGCTTCTGGGAACGCTAATACTGATATCATAAGCCTTATGAGGAAGTCCGGAAGTGATGAAATGCGTCAAGGGACATGATGGCGGACGTTACATGTTGACTGGAAGTAATGGAGCAGCCAACTTAACTGAGGTGATATTGGTATTAGCGTTCCCAGAAGCTGGTCGAGAGATGGTGTTATGGTAATATATGCATTTTTAATGTCATTTTAGCCACCTCCCATCCATCATATAGTAATATGATGGATGCAAGGTGGTTCTCTCGTTCTGGGTGGTTCTCTCGTTCTCCTCGTTCGGCTCCCGAAGCACACAGCGCGGCGATCGGCGGTGCGCTGTGTCCCTCGGACACAGCGGATCACAGATCCACAGAAAGAGCCAAAGATGTCGGCTCGGTCATGTGATCAGCTGTGTCCAATCACAGCTGATCACATGTAAACAGGGAAATGCCGGTTATCGGAATTTCCCTCCTCTCGAGCTGTCATGCTGACAGCTCAAGAGGAGAGGAGAGCCGGTAATCAGCATTGCGCGGAGGAGACATGTACACTGATCATCAGAGCACTGATGATCAGTGTGCCCTGATGATCAGTGAAGCCCCAGCAGTGCCACCTGTCAGTGTCCATCAGTGCCAGTTGTCAGTGCTCATCAGTGCCACGTGCCAGTACCCATCAGTGCCACATCAATGCCACATATCTATGCCTACCAGTGCACATCAATGCCAAGTATCAGTGCCAATCTGAGCTGCCTTTCAGTGCCAGTCCGTGTCACCTATCAATGCCAATCAGTGCCACCTATCAGTGCTGCCAATCAGTGCCACCTATCAGCCAGTCAGTGCCGCCTATCAGTGCCCGTCAGTGCTGCCTAACAGTGCCAGTCAGTGCCACCTAACAGTGCCAGTCAGTGCCGCCTATCAGTGCCATATATCAGTGCTGCCTTTCCGTGCCCATCAGTGATGCCTGTCAATGCCCATCAGTGCCACCTACCAGTGCCTCCTCATCAGTGCCCATCAGTGCCACCTATCAGTGTCCATCAGTGCAGCCTATCAGTGCTCATCACTGCAGCCTCATTAGCGCACATCAGTGAAGGAGAAAAATCACTTATTTACAACATTTTCTAACAAAAACTAAGAAAAAACTTTTTTTTTTTTCAAAATTTTCAGTGGTTTTCGGTTTGTTTAAGAAAAAATCAAAAACCCAGAGGTGATTAAATACCACCAAAATAAAGCTCTATGTGTTACAAAAAATGATAAAAATTTCATATGGGTACAGTGTTGCATGACTGCGCAATTGTCAGTCAAAGTGCAACAGTGCTGAAAGCTGGAAATTGGCCTGGGCAGGAAGGGCTTGTGGTTAATTTAAGACTATTCATTAAAGCCTGGATCTAATTTTTACTATGTATAGCGTTTGTGGGATAATCTTGAAGATTGCTGGCTTATTGGATTATTCTCTTAGAAGGCCTTTTGATCACGTATTTAAGTAAGAGTATTAGCTCTAGCCACATAGAAGTGTTCATATAGAAGTGTACACGGAGTGCTTCACTATTTCACATTTTTTTTCACATAATAGTTATTTATGTATATATGGTTTTGATCATTGATTAATTGAGGATAATACACTATATAGTTTTTTATTTCATTTTTTGGAGGTATACGGTAGAAATGAATCATACTTTGGGATAATTACACTGAAGAAATATTTGGGAAGACTCACTGAGACTAAAGAGGATTCATTATTTATATTTTTTTATTTATAGTGGAAAAAATTACAAATGCACAGGTGGTCAAATACCACTGAAAGAAAGCTCCATTCATAGGAAAAAAGGACGTAAATTTCATTTGGGTGTAGCATTGCATGACCACGCTATTGTCAATTAAAATAACGCAGCGCCGTATCGCAAAAAATGTCCAGGTGAGGAAGGGGGGTAAATCCTCTGGAGGGCAAGTGGTTAAGGTGACCCATGCCATTGATCTTGCCATCTCCTGTGCATAGAGGCTGTTGAAAGATATTTTTTCCCTTCAAATGCCTATCTGTTCCACCTACCTGGATATCATCTATATCTTGTCTGATTAGTTAGTAATGTGGGAAAAAAGGGATGAAGGAACAGAAAGCCAAAGTTGGTCAGGAGAATTTTTACATCAAGTTTCGCAGCTGCTCTCTAGGGATTGCTTGGGAGTTACAACATGAGAGAATGAGCAAGAAACATCTTCCAACAGCCTCTATGTACAGGTACTGTTAGCTGAGTCAACAAGTGGAATGGTGTGTCATGTTATAGGTGTCATTTTAACAAACCTAAAGTAAACAAGTTACAAAAAAAATGGCATTGTGTGTGAGGAATGTAAGAACTTATTTTAGAACTATACATGAAAGGTTCATATTCTTGTAGATGGAATGACATATATGACATTTATGGGACTTTTTTATGATGACTTTATGTTATCTGTCAAATTAGGAAAAAGGAAGCACAAAAGAATATGTGGCAGTTTTTTTCTGTCAAAGTACTGGACAGGAAGCCAATTATATAATGCAAAATACTGAACTTCAGCAAAAAAATGTTGTTGGAAAGAATGTGGAAGGGTGATTAGCTCTGTCAGATTTAGAGCTGTGCCCATGTCCTCACTGAGGAGATCCACCCTTGTGTGTTATAAAGACCAATATTACAAACATAGAAAGCAATAGGAAACAGTCCTCATCAAAATGGTAGAGGGGATATGTTCCAACTAGGACATGTGTTGCTGTGACAACTGTCAAAGATGAGTTTTTCCTCACTTTCTTGCTAAGCCTTCCCTTTGTAAAACTATAAGAAACATTTTACCTGGAGTTCTACCTTAAGAATTAAGTAAATCCTTCTCTGACAGCTTTCTAAAACTAACATATATTCACCCATACATATAATTACATAAACCAGCAGGAGCATAGAGGTGGCATTAAGGGGTCCAATTGCCCCCAGCATCCTTCCCCCCATCCCCCGAGCATCCTCTTCTTCCCCTTGCACTCTTGTTGCCTGTTAGGCAGTGGCAGTTCAGCGCAAACAGTTAAAGAGGCTCTGAGAGGAATTGTACTGGGTGGGGGATCTGTACTGGGGGGAATGTGTACTGAAGAGGGAGATCTGTGGGTGGAGATATGTATTGGGGAAGGGATCTGTATCAGAGAAGGAGATCTGTATTGGAGAAAGGAATTTGTACTGGGGAGGAAGATTTGTACTGGAGGCGAGATCTGTACTGAGAGAGAGATCAGTACTGGGTGTGAGATCTGTATTGAAAGAAGGAATCGGTAATAGGTGGGAGATCTGTACTGGGGGAGAAAATCTGTACTAGTGAATGGGGGGGGATTTGTCCTGGGGAGAATTTTGGCTTAGGTAGGGAGTTCATTTTGTAAAATTAGTTCCTGTAACATTTAGGCTGTGTGTATACTACAGGTGTTGTTATGCATTTTGCTGCATTTTTGTGCACAGCAAACTTTATGTGTATGAGAAAATACATTGCTACTGAAGAACCTGATTGCTGAAAGTAATTAAGTTGTGAAAAAGTGTCTTGCTTACTGTAATTTGTTGGTGTTGACCTGCATTTTGCTATTCATGTCAATTAAATTAAAATTCTTACAGTATGTGCATCATGCCATGTCTACTTGTGCCTTGGATCAGAAACGGAGTTCCTAGACACTATATTATTATCTGACATAAAGCAGTGAACCCAGATGGAAAGAAGTCAATCACAAACTGTTTTTGAAGGAAACCTAAGCAGGAAGTGAAACCAGGCTTAAAACAGTATATCTGCCTGTAAAAATGTATTAATGAAAAGTGAACAACCTTTTCCTTCAACTTTTTTGTCTATTTTGCTTAGCTGGAACATATTATACTTCTTGTATCTGTATTTTGAGGAACAGAGAATGGTAAAGAGGATGTTTAGTAAAAAGTAAGAATGGTCAGTTTTAGCTTTTGCAAAGTTACTTTTTTTCTATAGATTTCACATTATTGTAAAATCTATAATAGTGTGGTTTAGTTTTGTCCTTGTCCATTTGTCAGTACAGTTGACCGATGGTGCTGATTGCTTTTGCAGAGCCATGGTGACCTTCAGTGAGGTGTCATGTAAACCGGTGGCAAGAACATTTAAGAATTTATATATACCTTTGTAGCTGCAGGTATCATGGAAAGGTTTATCCTGAAATTTTACAGAAGTTTTCTTACAGAGGAAACTGTTTTACTGAAGTTGTCATTGTTCCTCTCTTTGCAGATCAGTGTCAAGAAGTTTACATGATTAATCAAGTCAGCAATATTGATAAATTTGATTATTCAATATACAACAGTGCCTCCAGCTCCAGCCATTTGGAGTGTTAAATTAACGTAAAATAAAATGAATGGATATGTAGCACACTCCTAGATAGGTTGCTAGGATGTTAGGTATATTTAGTTCTTTTTTGACTCCACTGTAATCATTGGAACAGCTTTTGATTGCTTTGGGCTGTTCTGGAGTTCACAGGCTGCAGGTTTGATTGTTTCCACCTGCATTCTAGAGACTTCTAGATCTTAGGGGGCGGGAAAGTCAAATGAGCAGCCTGAATACTTATTGTCCTTCAGCCAATCCCTGGGTAGGTATGTCCAGTAGGTAGCTGATAAATAGTCTGAGCTTTAGAAGAGCAGGGTCTTACTGTTGAAGAGATTTAATCTGTCAGGTTGGGGTGGCTACCCCCCTTCACCCCGATTCATGCTGATTTTCATTGAGGTCCCGGTTGTGTCAGGAGGCCTACACCTGAAAGCATCTTTGACACCTTAAGACTTCTTCTAAAGGATCCAGTCTGCACAGCCTCACTAGAAGTATTTGGAGGAATCTGAATGGACATAGCTGCTCCCTTAGTCTTGTGAGTACTGACTTAATTACAAGATCCTGGTGACTATGTACTATTGAGGTAGCTGGGCCAAGTAGTTCCTCCCCTGAGGGGTCCCTACCTCTTGCCTTCCCTAATCACTAGTGAGGAGGAACTGTAGTTATCATCATTTTCTGTGGTACAGTCATCACTCTTATCTATGCAGCAATCATCATCATTATCTGTGCTGCAGACATTACCACTACTTGTGTTTCAACCGTTTATATGGTCCCCAGCTGTTAAACTGTAGACTGTTGCAGTCTACCTTTACCGTGCTAAAACTACTCTTCTGCAGCAGAATGAAGGAGGCCAAGACTATGCTACTGACTATGTTGACACAGCTTAACTGGAGTACCTGATTCCTGTGGTGGTAATTGAACCTTTGAATAAACCTTTGCAAAGGATCTTAATGCTAAACTCTAACCCACCCCCCAAAACACTATGAGATACATCTACTTCAGAAATTAGAGTAGAATTTTTGCAAAGTAATTGTTAAATGATACTTTCACAATTAATATATTTGTGCTGGGATTTGAACCACACCCAGAGATTCACAAAGCTGCTTATGTGATGACTTGTAAAAGATATGCGAAGGGCTTTCAAGGAGATTGGTCAATCGAGAGTCTTAGTTCGAGATAGCATGATATATGAGAGGATGATGATAATGACCCATGGAGTGGGACTGTTCTTTGAGTGTGTGAATCTTCCTTTTTTCTCTAAACTTCCCTTTATTTCCAAAATTCCCTTATCTAAGGACAGCCTAGAGGGTGTATTTCAGAATATTTACCCACATGTGATTGGAAGGTATTTCTATAGACTAACTTAATTTTTGTTTAAGTGTTGACTGTACCTGTCCACCAGATGGCACTCTAAGACTAGGATCTCCTATTTTAGCTCTTCTGATGTCCTATACATGCAGTGTTTGAATTATATATATAT